ACAAGAAACTAATACCGACACTAAACACATTTGCATCAATAACTGTTGTGGCGCGCAACCCAATCCACAATTATCACTGTTGCGGCGTGCAACCTGATCCACAATTATAACACTGTTGCGGCGTGCAACCCGACCCAATGACTAATTGTAGCTTTTTCATCAATATATGCTAAACAAATCCAACCCAATGACTAATTGTAGCTTTTTCATCAATTTACCCCAAAAGGTCAAAAATGCCCCCGGACCCACATGGTCAAAACCCGAGGTTCGAACCAAAACCCGTTTACCCATTCCCCCAAGAACTCAAATATGTAAGTTATTTTGGAATCGGACCCCGAATTGAGGTCCAAAACCCCCAATTTTAGAAAACCTAGGTTCTACCCTAAATTCCCAAGTTCCCCATTAAAATCTTTGTTTTGAAGTTGAAATTATGTTTAAGGATGTTAAGGAGTAAAGAAAAATCAGTTAGAAAACACTTACCAATCGTTTTGAAGAAGTAGAATCGTTTGGAAAATCGCCTCTTATGTTTTGGGTTTTGAAAAAGTGAAGAAATGTTTGAAAATCCCGATTTTATATACTGTGCTGAAGGCTGGCGCGGACCGCATAAAAATGCACCGCGACCGCGCCGAGGGAGGGAAGAAAAATGACTCTCTGAACCTACCCAGCGCAGACCGCACTGATTTGGTGCGCGGCCGCGCTGGTTGACCTAGAACTCACTGGCCCTCTGAACCTAGCCACGCGGACCGCGCAAGGAAGCACCGCGGCCGCGCGGCTTCCAGCGCGGACCGCGCGGAAATGACCGCGGCCGCGCTGGGGGCCTGCAACCCCTGAACCTACAACCATCTGTTATTTTTTTTCTAGCCTAAGACCTCCCGGGACCTACTCAAAACTCCCCCGAGCCCTCGGGGCTCCCAACCGAACATACATATAAACTCAAAAACATCCTACGGACTCATCTGTGCGATCAAATCGCCCAAACAACATCATAAGCATCAAATTAGGCCTCAAGGCCCAGGATTTCCTTCCAATTTTCATAAAACATCAAGTTTACTGCTTCAAGCTCAAAACACGTCAAATGACGTCCAAATCTTACCAAACTTTACAGCAATTGCTTAAATCATATTTAAGACTTGTGCCGGGCGTCGGAACCAAAATACGAGCCCGACAGCACAGTCTTCAAAACAAGTAACACTTTCAAATTCTTTAATTATTTTTCAGAAAACAATTTCACTCTAAAATTCATTTCTCGGACTTGGGACCTCGAAATTTGATTCCGGGCACACACTCAAGTCCCAAAATTTCCTACGGACCCTCCGGGACCGTCGAATCACGAGTCCGGGTCCGTTTGCCCAAAATGTTGACCGAAGTCAAACTCGATCAATTAAATACCAAGATTTAACAATTTTTCTCACAACTTTCATATTTAAACTTTTCCGGCTACGCGCCCGGACTACGCACACAACTCGAGGCAACCCCACATGAGGTTTCCAGGGCCTCAGAAGTACAGAGGGAGTAGGAATACAGGTGATGACCCTTTGGGTCGTCACACATATTAAGCTTTGTTGGCTACAAATATGTTTCAGAATTGTATTAGTATTTCCGCACTTTGATTTATATCATCCACACTTTCAGTATATCAGCATGTGTTAGTTTATCTTCCGCATTTCAGTATGTTATGATACCACATGTTGATTCAGCCAGCCAGTTGGTTTGCTCGATCACATGTAGTCAGGCACCAAGTGTCGTGTTACGTCTAGGCCCAGGTTCGGGGCGTGACACATTACCCATTGCATGATGATGACCATAGTTCACAGGCATGACTGTATTGGCATGTGCCGAGAGGCACTGTTAGCATATAAAGGCATGGAGTAACCAGGTTCTATCATTGCATTGTGTGCACTAGCTCCCCCTTTCTTTTTGAACTTATAGTTAGAGGAATACCCTATTATTTTGTAAAAATTCTCCTTACTATGACCTTTTATTTTGCAAAACTCACACTGAACATTATAGTTCTTTTTAAACTTTGAATTAGGGTTGGACTTATCACTATAGAGTGTTGTAGAGTCATATGTATTTGCATTCACTGTAGGAGGGGGACCTAACACACCAGCAGAGGCAGCTACAACTCTTTGGCTTTCATCACTCATGAGCATTGCATAAGCTTGATTTACTGTTGGTAATGGCTTCATCATAAGAATTTGACTACGAGCATGTGAGTTAGAATATTCATTTAGGCCCATTAGAAACTGATATACCTTTTGTTTTCGTAGAAGCACAATAAACTCCTTTGTTTTGACACAATTACATCCAGGAGTAGGTATTACAGACTAAGATTCATCCCAGAGATCTTCAAGCTTTGAATAATAGACAGAGATAGATGAGGTACCTTGACCCAGAGTGGTTATTTTCTTGTGTAAATTGTAGCAACGAGTGTCATTCACCTTATCAAACCGCTCCTGCAGATCTAGCCACACTGTTTACGCACTGGTAGCATATGCTATACCACTAATTAGTGAGGGAGCAACTGAATTCATCAACCATGACAGTACGATTGCATTACAAATTTTCCACTAATACCAATACTTCTCACGAAATCTCTCCTTTGGCCACCTGCCATCAACAATTCTCAGTTTATTGCGGCCAAGTAGAGCAATTTGCATAGATCAATGCCATAAGGAGTAATTATCAGTTCCAGTCAACTGAAATAAAATCAAGGAAATGTCGCTTGTATCACTAGGAGCAAGGTATATAGGATGAGTAACAGCTACTATAACACTTTCCCCAAATTCATCGTCTGATGATGTATGCGACACATTCTCAGTTGTGATAGTTGCATTTTCATGTTCCAAATCATCAATCGCCATTGTTGACTAGTTTGAAGGTTTTAACCAAAAAAACTGAAGTCACAATTGACTCAAATTTAGAGAATAGTAACTGAAATTAGAACAGAGAAGAAGATTAGGATCGATTTTTAAGCTACAATTTAGAGCTTAAAGCTTTGATACCATGCTGAAGTTTAGAGATTGAGTGCACCAGAATACCCTAGCTGCGAGGGAGAAGAGAGAAGAAGAAAGGGAAAGAGTAAATGAATGAAACAGTAAACTTTCATTCTATTTGTTTCAGTCTTTGCATTGATGTATATATACAAGTAGCTTAGTACAATGTAACTAACTAACAAATCAATCACTTACACCATTAACCACTAACAGACTAACTAATTCGGGTATGCATAAATAGACTAAACTACCCTCATGCTTAAGTTATTCCTCTTTCCTCAACATGGACCACCCCACTTTTTTTTTTTTACGGAAAAGGGCTAAAACTGCCCCTAGCTTATTTGATTTGGTATAAAAATATTCTCCGTCCACCTATTGAGCCAAAAATGTCCCTACCGTTATATTTGTGGCTCACTTAAGCCCTTATTAACTGACAGATTTATTTGAAAAATATTTTTAATTAATATCCACGTATCACTGTCGCATTGGTCTAAACTTAAATCTTTACTAATTTTTTTCTAAAAAATAACACCCACTATGGTTTCTTCAAACTCCCCCAAAAAAAGGACATGTCCCATTGCCAACTCCCCCTTTCTTCTCCAATCTCCATAAAATTGAATCAGAGGAGGAGATAATCAATTTTTTTTCTCATACCCATTTTATACCTATTTGATTTTATTTAATGAATCCTTCGTAAGTCAAAATCCCAATTTTATTTTCATACCCATTTCATTTCATTCTCAAAACTCAACAATTTCTTGTTTTAATTGTTACTTTTCTTGTTGTTATGGTGGCGCAAATTCTTCCATTTGCAGAATCTAAACGATGAAGAAGTTACATTGTCTTTTAAAATCGGGTTTGGATTAATAGAGTTTAAAATTGGGACGGGTAAATCAATACACCAACTTATGATAGTTTTTACTTTTTAATTCAGAATCGCTTATGCCAATGAGACGGTAACACATGGATATTCATTAAATTCCGTTAATAATAAGGAATAATTTAGCTATTAACATAACGATGGGAGTATTTTTGGCTCAATAAGTGGATGAAGATCATTTTTATACCAAATCGAATAGTCTAGTGATATTTTTGGCCATTTTCCATTTTTTTTTTATCATAGAAAGAAAAAGACCGATTAAACATGGAGCTGTCCAACTGGAGTTTAAATTAAAAACACGGCCTGCATTAAACACAAGAATAGAATCATCCCAACTGTACAATGGACATGTGGCAGTTACCCATACCTTAATTAGGAACGTATAGCAGGTTTCCTTCTTCAAGTACATGAATCATATAACAAGGAATTCAACTTTATTTTCAAATGCAATAATGATATGCAGAATTCTTACACATTGTCAATATAATTTAAAAACCTACTGCTTGTCTTATCTTTTAGGTTAATAATCACTTATATGACAAAGTTAGTGCTTTTACCCAATTTATGTGATGCAATTCGGATTTTAAAATCGAGTCAAACGTGTTTTTCTTATCGCAATTTTTTAATATATCTTTTATATAATTTAAATTATCAAAATACTGTAATTTGTAATACTTTTTATGTACTTTTACAAATATGTAATTTTTTCTAAAAAACATAAAAGATTTTATATCGAAATTAATTCATAGTCAACACTAGGAAATTTGACTCTTAACATCCAAATAAATAATCACATAAATTGGGAGAAAGAAAATATTACCGATAAGTATCTTCTAAGTGATTGGTAATGCAAAATTCATTTACACTATGAATTAAAAAATCTAAAGCCCACACCATATTCAAGAGTTCCCACGCGTGGCAATGGTTGGAAGCTGAACTTGGACGTGAAAAACTAGTTTAATTAATAACACCTTTGCCCTTTCCACGCGGACCACACCACCCCCATATCCTAGGCGGTTTCGTGGCCCCTCGAAATTTAATCTCAAAGGATCAAATGCCATGTACTACTACGTACTAGTATAGTATATAATAGCCAACATACCACTCTTTCGGATCATCTCACTCAAACAACAAAGAACCCTTCCTTAAATTCTGTACTCTTAATTCGAGTCTGAAAAGTACGTACGCGGGTCAGTTACGTACAATATAATGGTGTGTTTTTGCTTTTTGGTGGATCAGAAGAGGATGATGAGGCAGAGTAAGCCAGTAGCTGGTTCGTGTTCGCGTTGCGGCCATGGCGCTCAAGTTGCTGAAATGACAACTGCTACCAGATTTTGTTACGTTCCCTTTTACTGGAAGTCTTGGAAAGCTATTATCTGTTGTTTCTGTGGTGCCGTTCTCAAGTCTTACAGATAAAATCATCCGTTTCTCTATCTTTTTGACTGTACTAGTATATGTAATTAAGTTATGTATTTTGTGCGTTCCCCTTAACTGATCGAATTAGCAAATGGAAGTAGAGAGATATAATCTATATCTATATATAGAAGAGGGAATGAGAAAGCTGATGTGGCACATCCCAAATACCAGCATTCCTATTTATTTTTTTGCTCTTCTCTTTATTTATTTTTTCATTTATTTAACTTTAGTAAGTGCAAAACTGAAACATCACTTCTTTACTTCTCTCTCTGGCGGCTTTTATGAACCAAGGTAACGTTTCAGTTACTCATTATCAAGATCCATAGTGACTAATTAACCAGAATTAAAACACATCAAAATTTGAAAAGCCCTAACACTTGATAAATTGGAGGCTATAAAACTGATATTACAACGTGTTTCCTTTTGAATATTCCGATTTGAGTTCTTCATTTCAATCAACCAACTTCCGAGATTAGAAACTAAAGCTTTTAATTTATCCGCTTAATCAGTTGCTTTCTCATATAAGGGCATATGAATTTTTTTCATTATACAAAGCTTCGAAATACAAGATGTCGGCAAAAATTGATGAAACTATCCATTTGCTAGAACAAAGAAATGCTCACGACGAATTTCTGGTTATGAACGAACTCTTCACTAAGGTATTCTATACGTTTGTGATAGTCTATTTTTAATCTCTCTGTAATTTTGACTTGTGGGGCTTTTCGTTTCTTTGTTTCCATATTTAAAGCTTTACGTAATTTTTTTTAAATTTTTTACACTTTCTTTTTAACTCAAAGCAAAATAATATGGTGATCAATTAATGTTCATCTGGGTTCTCTGATAATCATTCCAATTTCGTGATACAACTGCTCTTATCTCTATGATCTTATCGCCTTCAATGGCATCCTCTGTGACTCCCCTCTGTGCTTAATTTATAGGAGAGAATGATAAGATGTTGATATAGTAGAAAAATTTATCTGGGAAAATAATCAAAACTATAGGAAACTTAGAAATTAAAGAAAATCGGGGATAAAAAAAGGGATTTGTTTAGTTATTTTGATAGGATTCAGTATGCCGCGCAGAAGGCTGCAAATTTTAAGGGGTGCGAGAAATTAAAAGGAAAATAAAGAGAAAGGTAACAAGTTAAAGGAAAAAAATAAGTAAAGGAAGAAAGAAATGGGAACGGAAAGAAAACGATTGCAGAAAATTCGAACTGTTAATCATTTATGATCGCATTTTTTCCTCTTCTTTAATATCTGTATTGATATAAAGTAAAGAACAAAAATAAAGCCAAGTAACTTATTATACAAAAATCTATATTTATAAAAATAGGGAAATTATTAGAACCCAAGATATTTAAAGATGTCTAATGATTATGTGAAGAGTATAATTTTAAACTATTCGATTATGAGCTTTTTTTGTTTCTCCTTTTTTTTTACAAGTATATAATTTATTTATTTTAATTTTCTTTTTGCAGGTTCACAAGCATATGCTTTCATGAGCTATTTGATGAATTCTGGATGTTTGGAGCATACATTCACATACAATATTTTAATGCTTACGGCAACATCAAACATCATTTCAGTCAATGTAACTTTCGTCTCAAATCTTACTTATTTGGAGAAGAAAAGAGAGATATTTCGCCAAATTAGGAAGAAAAAGAGGAATTTTGTTTTATTTTATGCATTGAGTTTGTAAATCGTCATTCATATTTCATCATTGCTTTAAAGTATTTAAAGCATTTGTTGAAGTGATGCGATGGATATATAGTATTTATGTTACCGAGAAGGAAAAAGAGTACACATATATAACAATACGCCTTTTGGTTGCCTCGTTAAAAACCTTGCAAGGGAAACCCAGTGGGACAAAACCTTGTAAGGGAAAAAGAGTACAACGCGTATTAACTCCCCCTCATGAGAGCATCACTTCACATCCTTAGGCATTTGCATTCCAATCTTGTGCACCATCTTCAAAAGATCTTTGGTAGATATTTATAAACAAATCAGCCATATTAACTTGAATGAATATATTGCACCTTGAAATCATCATTCTTGATAGAGATGGATTGTCTTCATATGATCTTGTTGGAATCGTCAGTTCAATATCTTCACATAGAGGTGAAAACTCTTGCTATCATATTATGATGCATATAGTTATAGCAAGATACATTTGTGCACAAATTGCATTGAGGATGTAGTACTTCATGACCATGAATTCTATATGCTTTAAGCAATTTAAATCCTTCAGGGATTGTTACTTTCAAATGTTTGAATTACATGTTCAAAACTACATGTCTTTCATATGAAACCAATTCTATTTGAATTGTTTCTTCAGACTTAAGATCCTCATATATATATTTAGCGCTATTATAGATGTCGTCGGCGAACATTTTATATCGGTTCCAACCTCCTTATTTTTCATAAAGACATAACATAGAGATCTCTTCATTTATATTTTCAGGTACCTGAATCTCTCCTGAGAATTTATGAAGTGTTATGTCATGTGATCTTCTAGATCACTTGCCTCCTTTGTTATGATCATTTAGATCATTTGCTCATCTTCTTTATCAAGAAGTTTATTTGAAACCGATTTGTCTATACGCTTTAAGCGTACCATAGACTTTGTGTCCTTCTAGGACTTATTCTAATAGGAGCATTTGCAGTGAGAATATAGTTACTTTCTTTGGGTCAGCAAATGCATCTGGCATGCTTTGCAATAAATTGTACATGAATTATCCTTTTCTGAACTTCAAGTTCATATTATCTTATTCGAGGATCGAGATGTATAAATAATAATTCATTCCATGTAACTTTTTCTCAACTGTTTATCATGTCTCTCCCTCATGTTAGAAAAACTAACTTGTTTCCTCAACTTTGAGAACCCATCTTTGTGCGTTATGGTGTTAATCAAAATATACACCGCACATCAATAATGATGAGATGGAATTATTTGGTTTCTGACCCTGAACCACTTGTGAGGGGAGAACTTAATATACTTTCGTATATAACCTATATCAAATTGATATAGATAACTTTGTTCTCATAAGCAATTGTTTAGCTATTAAGTGGAGGCACTCAATAAATCATTTTGCTAAACCAACTGTGATGTAAACCAACTTATCAAGAAGAACTATCTTGAATAAAAAATCTGGAAATTATGCTCTATATTTAATTATTGAGCAAGTTACCTCGCAAACACCAGGTTGCGGGTCAATAATAATTGCACATGTAACCATCTCATAGATGCATCTTATGTGGTATACATGGCAGGTGAATGGGCCCATATTCACCTTTGATATTTCCAGCATTCATGGGATTCAATCCCAATTTTAATTGGTCTATTAATTAATGAGAACAAGCAATGTAAGAGAATTCGTAAAGAACTTTCTAGTTCTTTAATATTTACCCATGTGGATTCTCTTCTATTTTTGCACATCATACTTGAATTAACATGGCTAAACCAATTATGCCAACTGGATAAATTATCAATATTGATAAACTTCAGGTTTACACCATGATGTGTGCAATTATGAATAAACTCCAAGTTTATTATGATATGGGTTTTTATATCAATAAATATCCACTTCATTGTGGTATTCTTTTGTTTATGTAGTACAAATTGGAGAATAAAGCGGGTAGCTTTTCACATACATATTACCCCGCTACAAGTTGTACTAATAGAAGATATTAAATCTTTCCTTTATTTATAGTCTCAATATAATCAACCGCTTTCGCGTATACTTTGAAAACTGAATAAGTTTCTTTGAGACTTACTACAACACAATACCTTATTGGTAATTAATTGTGTTTCTCCAAAATAGTATAATTGGCTCTTGCAGAGTTCTCAATTAATTTTGTAGTACCACATATTTATCAACACCCATATGGTGAATATCTCTTTTAAAGAGAAAGTTATACCATTATGGTTATGGTCAAAATTATATGCAAGATCTGTTTCTTGCATTACCGTTGTCTTTTAACAATCACAATGCCAAAATATTTTGGCGTACAATAGGTATGTGACCAATGACCATTCATGCCATAATAATGACATTATTTTCTTATATCATCTCAAATCTCCTTCTAGAGGTGAGTGTGGTATATTCACTACCAACACGTTCATATTCTTTGAAGAATGAATATGTATTCATACATCAGATGTTGTCACATTCACATCATGAATGGACCATAATCATCTATAAGTGCTTTACAAAATCTCATGTCAAATCGATGACAAATATTTTTCACAGAGTGAAAGATTATTTTGAGAATCCTTATTGTTCTCATTACCACAAATGATGACGATTATAATTTCGTTTGTTGCCACGTCCATATCTATTGATACATTCATAGTAATAATTTTATCTTCTTTCAGACTTATCACATACTGCTATCACATTCTCTTAAGGGAATGAGAATGGAGCAAATTCAATGGGACGAGTTTTCAATTCTTTGCCCACAATCATACATGAATTTGATCATGGCGAGGCATAGAAATTTTACCACTTCAGGTGGTTATAATTTCTTACAAACTCCATTAGAGTTATAATTAAACTTTGTTATCTTTGCTTGTGTTTAAAATCAAAGTATAGATAAAAGAGAAAAATACGGTAAAATACATACCTTAAATTCATAATTTAATCTTGAAGAAGTTCATAGAATAATTGACAATCATTATGCTCAATCCCAAAGCTTCTACTCAGTTGGTTAGAGTCTCGTGCTGATAAAGTATTATGAAATAATAAAAGAAGAAGAAGAGTATTGCAGAGAAAAGTAGGGAGGGAGAATTCTTATTGATTTTGAGATGAATTACAATGGAATAGAACCCTCTATTTATAGGGAGAGGGTGACTTAGCCACCAAGTAATAAACCCTAGAATCTCTCTAAATATAGACATTCACCATAAATAAAATTCTATTTATAACACAAAGGGAGTACATGCTTGATTTTCATTCAATAACCGTTTGTGGTTCAGGTAGTCTCTGGACGACTAGAAAATTATGCTTCGCAAGTTAGAAATATCTCTCTCTCTTCAAAGATAGGATTGGTTGTGTTCGTTTCTGTTGGGCACATGCCCATGTTGTCCAGCCAAAGGCCCAAAGGCCTAATCCTATTCTTTTTTGGTTTCCATTCCTATTTGGAATTGGATTCAGTGTTTACTCCTATTTTGAGCGGGTTTTGGCTTTAA